TAAGATAGTCAGTGAAGATTCTAGCCTGAGTGGTGTGCTCCATGGTAGCTTCCCTGTAATCCTGCATGAGATTCACCTAAATGTGTAGTATGAAGAAATAGGGCAGACAATGCCCCTCTTCCACATTAACTTCTAATACAGCTACAGCTTGCCATTTAAAATCCACCCCTGGGTTTGTCCTTACTCACAGCCGTCCTGATTAATAGCAAAGGTTCGGGCTTAGCCTTTTGTCTACAGTAGCACTTTTGTCTAGCGGGGTATGAAAAAACATACACACCTTTGACCAACGTAAGTTTCACTGACAAAAGCCACATTGTGTACAGCAGGAGACACTATCCTGCCAACATAACCACCGCTGCTCATTGGTGATTATTTAATGTGCCAGCAGGAGAGCTCTGTCCTGTTGACAGAATGGCTACAGAAGAGATCTCACAGCAGCAGCAGTGGTGCTTCTGTAAGGTCCACAGTGTGTAGGCAGAGCCTTAGAAAAACACTTACCCAAATGCTTAAATCTGTTCCTGCTGTGGAATGCATTTAAACGTGTACCCAAATGCTTTCCTGTATTGTTACTAAAAGGAAGAATAATAATGTTTAGGATTTATATAGCATTTTACTTCTTCAAAGTGGTGTTCAAACATAACTAACTCCTAATAGATGAGCAACTAGTTATCCCCAGACAGAGCTTATAGGAGAACTGTGCTCTTAAAAGTGGCCTTAGGGGGTTGCATGTTTGAGGCTCATTGTTTCCATATCAGCAGGGGCGGCCCTAGACTAGCTGCCAGCAACTGGCGCCCTAGGCGAACCATGCAATCGGCGCCCCCACCTCCAAACCCCTCAATGATATTGCGCCACCATTTGGAGCCCCATTTAACTTGGCGCCCTAGGCGATCGCCTAGTTCGCCTATATGGACGGGCCGCCCCTGCATATCAGACTTACTCAGTTTATAATTTCTAATGTTGGCCTATTTTTTTCAAACTCAGCTCAACAAAGGATCAATCTGGGGTTTTTACACAGCCTCACAAGGGCCTGCATGGCTGCTATACCATGTGTTCTCCTGTGTCATTGCAGCTGCCCCAATGCCAGGCTGTCACACCATATTTTTACTTGTAAAAAGAGAAAACCTTGTCTGACGATTATTGCTGTGCAATAAGCATGGAAGTCTGTGATGCCATTTTTACAGCTGCATGGAAGAGCACACTGAGCAGTGACCTTTCTGCAGACTGGATAAAAGTCTCCTATAACTGCATTCTCTGGGCTCTGGAATGGAGACACTGCTTGCTTTTGCTTACTCCCTGAGAAGTAAGAAACTGAAAAGTGGGCGAGTCATAACTGGTAGAGCCAATTGTGCAGCCGATGAGATAGCAGGAAGCATGAAGAATCAAGAGAAACTACCTGCTTGAGACACATTCCCTTTGCTGCTCTTCCTAGAATCTCTGCCTGAGAAACTCCTAAATGTATTTGCCATGCTGGAAGAATTGTTTTCCAGGCCTAGAAGGTGAAAGCTTAGTTTATTTCCCAATGTTCATGGCATCTAAAACCAGATTTATGCTTAGGTACTTGAAAACTACAGCATCTTCTTTTGCCAGAAGTAGGAATGGTCCACAGGGGATGGAACACTTGATCATTGCCTGTTCATTCCCTCTGGGGCACCTGGCATTGGCCACTGTTGGCAGACAGGATACTGGGCTAGGTGGACATTTGGTCTGACCCAGTATGGCTGCTCTTATGTTCTTATGACTTTACTTTTCTTCACTGAATTGCTCAGTGACAAGATTTACATTTGCCCCCACTTCTTACTTTCACAGGGCTCTGACATTCAAGCCCCTGGTTTAATGAGGTTCTTTTAAGTTACAGTGGTCCGCTCATTTGTGACAAGGTAAGCACAGTCCCAGTTTTCCATATTCCCACAATAATTACAACATTGGTAAAGCACCAAACCTATAAACCATATTCCAGAAGAGCAGCTGTGCTTTGCAAGAGCTCCTGGATTTCTCATGTGTTTCTAGTGTTGCTGGCCATAACTGCCCTCTTTTTAAATACACTCATCTGCACTTAATTAGCTCCCACTTGGTGTAGCATGTCTCTGAACTGCCTCTGAACAGGGGCTGTGCCTTAACACCTGAACCACCCAGCTTGCCTGTGCTCTCAAAGCTTTTCCTCTTTAAATGCCAGACTTATGAAGAGCTGAAACCAGCTGTTACATTTTGGGTCTAATTACAGCCAATGCAGCAGCTGCTGTTGTGACTGGAAATGCTGCCAGTCAGTAAAGGAAGTAAACTCTTTTAAGAAATCTCTTCCTTCCCCAGAACCTAGACTGGGGACATAGAGATGTAGTTCTTGTTGAGTCCTACTGCCCAGTGCTGCCCTAGAGGGTGTGACTCTGAGTTTAGTTCCAGAGAAGTAGGTGAAAGTCCCATGTTTAACTTGTCAAGCCTGAAATGACAGCAACTCTCTTGCTCCCACTTCAGCAGATACTTTGGCAATAGC